GAAGGGGAATGTGATGGAGACTCCCTGGAGGTATATAGTGTGTTTTTTGTTGTTTTTTTAAACTTATTTTCAACCCACCAACTATTATGGGTTTCTACTCTAGAGTTTCACTAAGGGAATAAATTACTCATCCCTTCACTAAAAGAAGTTAAATGAAAGCTATGGTTTACAAAACTTTATCCCCTACTAATTATTATTTAATGATTCTTTGTAACACATCCAGGTTTTATACCCAACGTAGATTAATTGCTTATTTCAGTTAGCATACCCACTTGAGAAAGTACTCATCTGAAATTCTTCATAATTGCACTTTATTGCAAAGTAATTCTTGCTACAGTTACTTCAGAGTCTAGTCATAGTCAGGCAATATTAACATCTGTTTAAATTTATAGACTGTCTATTTCGTGCATCGCTGGAATCACTTACATTATTGGCAGGTCATCTGCATAACAAACAAGGATATAATTGTAGTTGGGGAAGGCTTGTCCATGGTAGTTACGATATGTAGGCAAGCATTGTAATGAGCAGCAAACTCAAATCAAATGATGATGATGGTGTGGGTGGGAGTCTTTCTACCCTTAGCCTACTAACTCTCACAGCCTAGGATGCCTTACTTCTGCTATCAACCATGTTAGCTAAGTTATAGCTTGCATGTGTATGTCATTACACTATATTTCCACCTTGATTTTTTATCTGAACATACACATAGCTGAAAAGTGAATGCAAGGCCACTGAGTGCAATGCAATACTTGAGGTCTTTAGATTTTCTTGTAGGTGGCAGGAAACAAGCTGGAATATTTAGGATCATGTCCTGGATCTCTGGAGACATCTGAAACTAACTGAAAAAGTCAGTATTGAATAATAAATCCAGTACTCTGTCCCAGTTTTGACGTTGGAATTTTTATAGTATATCTGAAATTGGAGATGGGACAAATGGAAACCACTAGAGTGACACGTGGGCTAAAAAAAAATACCCTATAATGAGAAACTATGATTATCTAATTGTTTTATTTTAGCAAAAAGAAAAGCAGTAGGTCACTTGATTATAGTGCGTATCTTTATGGGGAAAATTGCTAATTGTTAGTAGGCTCTTTAGTTTAGTAGAGAAAAAAAAAAAAAAACACAATGAAATATAGTGATGCCAAAAGATATAAGAATTAAAAATAAGAGGAATGACTTCACCCTGAGAACCTGTTGAAATATTACTAAAGCTAGTAGTGGTTTATCTGAATCTTTTACTAAAAAGATATCAATCTTCATTTGCAAGGAAAATATAAATGCTTTATTTAGTCTTGAGCTACTGGTCTCAGCATGGGAATGAGCAAGTGAAATTACATGTCTGTGTTACACAAGAGGACAGATGAGATAATCTAATGACCGTTTCTGGGCTGGCCTTAAACTCTTTGAAATTAAAATTCAGCCGAAACCATGGTTAACACACTGCAATCCTGACTAACCTCCATTGGCAGGCTCTGCTGTCTGACCTGGCACTGGCAAAGTTGGTTGTGCTGTTTTTGGAAGATGTGGTCAGGTCAGGAGAGCATCTGGAATAAATTAAGACACACTTGCTTTGTGTGTCTGGGTAGAAGCTGAAGTTCTCAGTTTGGTGCAGAGTGCCCTCTGTCGTCCTTTGCTGTCTTTACTCCTGCCAATAGGATTGCGGGTGCTGTTAAAATATATAAATGTAACTACACAGAACAGATAAAGGCCAGCTTAGCTTTTCACACTTACCTTAGATGGCTGCCTTAGAAGCCAATGCTTTCCATAAAGTCAGTGGAGTGACAAGAACATGTCTGCACAGTACTCAAATTGTCATCTTGAAGTATTTTCCTCTCTTCTGTAGTCTTAAGAAAGAAGCTAACGTCCTAGATGCCTTGGTTGTGTGCACGGAGTCAGATGAAATACATCTTACCTCTGTTTCATTTAAATGTTTTTTGTTTTGCAGTATGATTATGAATATGATGAAAATGGTGAACGAGTAGTTCTGGGGAAAGGAACATACGGCATTGTATACGCAGGACGAGATTTGAGCAATCAAGTCAGAATTGCTATTAAAGAAATCCCAGAAAGAGATAGCAGGTATGGTAATTGAGCCTTATTCCTGACTTTGTGCATTATATGCTTTCATTATTAAGTAATCTAATGAACCAAAATCTGATTAAGTGATCTGAAGGAAGAGCTCCCATCACTCTTTCACAAAGCTGTCAATAAATTGTCAGTTATATCATGGTAATTCCCTTTCTTTGTAAGGAAACATTTCCATGTTATGGAATGATTTATGATTGCAATTACTGAGAATTTGTTTTCTAGTTTTGGTCTTAGTAGTTCACAATAATTTCTCCTTCCAAAAGAAATACTGCTGAAATACAGAATCTTGCTCAAATACCTTGTGAAAAGCTCTGTCTTAAGAATGTTTATAAGAAGCATGCATACATAAGCAGGATCTTGTAAAAGAACTTCTGAAATTTATAACTTCCACAATCCTTTAAAACTCTGAGCCTGAATTGTTGATGAAGACATTGTCCTTTTTCTGTTTGAGCCTACTAATTTATTATGAAGTCCCTTCACAGTAGTACAAAACATGTAATGATCTCTTCGTCCATGCTTCTTAATGCAGTAACTTTGTCTGTGTAGTGCCTTGTTTCATTTATAATAGTTAACATGTAAAGGCCAAACATGTCATGTCTATTGTACTTGTATATCTTGAGGTTTGTAGTGTATAGTATTCTGAATACATAATTTCCACAAATATTCTGATGAAAGTGATAGCAAGTCTACACATACAATTTCTTCGCGAATAGAACTGACTTTAAAAATAACTTGAAAGTTTAAAAATTCTACAATTACATTTGTTTTTGTGGTCAAGTGTTGTGCGAGCTATTTCTTAACAGGTGAGTCAAGCACCTGGATCTTTGAAGTGCCTCTCAGATTATAAAGTATCATCAAGACTATAACTTGTGCCTCTATATTCAGAAAGCTAGGAAAAGTAGGAAACAGTTACTTCCGTGGTCGGTAAATCCCTCTTTTTCCTAATGATTAAAGAAATATTTTAATGAAGGAAGCTCTTCTGATAAATACAGAACACTACTTGTTATCAGGAGGAATAGCATACTAAGTGAATAATGGTAAAATACTGGGTGTGCCAATTGGTGTACTTTGTCCGTCATTTAAGTCAGGAATAGACTCCATATTTGCAAGGTTTTTTTTGTCTTTTGCCCATTTGACTTTTTTTTTTTTTACTATCCTGATCTAATGAATAGTTTTGCCATCAGCAGAATTTCCCATATTTTAGCAACACCTGCGGGAGCTGGTTGATGAGAAGGTCAACATGAACTGGCAATGTGCACTTGCAGCCCTGAAAGCCAACCATATACTGGGCCGCATCAAAAAAAAAAAGCAGGTTGAGAGGCATGTTTCGCCACCCTCTCCTCTGCTCCTGTGAGGCCCTGCCTGGAGTGCTGCGTTCAGCCCTGGGGCCCCCAGCACAAGAAGGGCATGGATGTATTAGAATGAGTCCAAAGGAGGGCCACAAAGATGGTCCCAGGGCTGGAGCACCTCTCCTGTGAAGAGGAGGGACGGGCTGAGGGACCTAGGGTTGTTCAGCCTGGAGAAGAAAAGCCCCCAGGGAGACCACATGGCAGCCTTCCAGTACCTAAAGGGGGCCTACAGGAAAGCCGGGGAGGGACTCTTTGTCAGGGAGCATGGTGGCAGGACAAGGGTTAGTGGCTGTAAACTAACAGAGGGTAGACTGAGATTAGGTATAAGGAGGAAATTCTTCAGTCTGAAGGTGGTGAGGCCCTGGCACAGGCTGCCCAGAGAAGCTGTGGATGCCCCACCCCTGGAGGTGTTCAAGGCTAGGCTGGATGGGGCTTTGGGCAGCCTGGTTTAGTGGGAGGTGTCCCTGCTTGTGGTGGGTGGGGTGTTGGAAGTGGATGGTCTTTAAGTTCCCTTCCAATCCAAATAATTCTAAGATTCTATGATTCCAAGAAATCCTACATCTTTCTAAAGAATTTTCTTAGGGATTTATTTGCTTAATTATGTAAGTTGCTCAAGACTAAATTAACTGTGTAGTTTAACAGTTCTGGGGGAAGAATTACATGCATGTTTCTGTTGCCACTCCGAATTAATATTCTGGTACAACTCAGAAATATAACCTCAGATGATTTTTGAATTTCTGAATGACTAACAAGGTAGTTGGAATGTTTATTGTTGTGCAGAGGGGTGTGACGAAACTCGAATTATTTTTAGTGCATAGACTGAGGGCTGCATGAGGGTCACACTTCCTTTAATGAAATACTTTTTGTTTTCTATAACATTCATATTCCAGAGGCATTTTGAGATGACTCCTTTTTTTTTTCCCTCTACTTTTTAGAGTTCAGCCTCCATTTGTAGCTTGATGCTGTTGTTAGGGTGAACTGGTAACTACTTGCTCCAAAAGAGTGGAGCTCACAGGTGCTTTTACCCCAAGAACTTGGGTTGCATTCCTGGGACTGGCACTTTACTGGCTCCAGGAAGAACTAAATCCTAGACTTGAAGCAGCAGAAATCTCTTGACCCCTAATTTCCCCAGCACAAATATGAGTAAATGAAGGTGTTGTTGCCAGTTTGTCAGGAGGCCAGAATGTCACCAGTCAAAATCAGTCAAAATTTGTGCTGAGAGCAACCTGCCGAGGGTGAAAAGGAATTGGGGGGGGGGAAGGGAAGGGAGAGAGAATGTTGCTTCTGGTCACAGTTAGCTGCAAGGTTAAGATTGTGGTTTAATTTAGTACTCCCTCAGTATAAGCGTCTGAACATGTCCTCACACGCTCAACACACTGCAGCTACTTCTTGAACTCAACGGAGAAGTCTGTGTCCAACATCTATCTCACCTATCCTGAAAGTATGACTACAGACTTTAGTATTTTGTTGGAAGTAGCCACCAGACTCTGAATGTATTACCTAAATTTTGCCAGACAAAACACAGGATCTGGCCGCTAACCTGCCAGGGTGTGTGCGACTCACCCGTGGGTGGAAGAAGAGTGTTAGAGCTTGCTCAGGGGACCACGTCAGCTTCTGAGGTAGAGTTCTGGTGCTGTTCCACACCAGAAGGATCTGGACTTCAGAAATGTTGACAAAAAAGACTGCAGAAAAAGCGTACATCTCTGAAAAATACTTGATCTTTGACTAAACTAATTTTGAAATTATTCTCATCAGTTCTTCCGGATCTGTCTCCATGAAAAGACTCCTGATTTCTTACTTTGATAGCTATCCGCTCTTGCTTTCAGATAAGACTCCTCCTTTATTAGTAGAAACTTAAATGGTGATTTGTTTTAATTATTGAGCTGATCTTAATTATACATTAACTCAATTGTTTACTAGTTCACTTTGACACTAGTCTAAATACAACCATTTATTCTCTTTCTGTTGAGCTGGATTGTAGTTCCTTTTCCACAAATTATTTTGCCTAGTCTGTCTATGTAAATAAATGTACACTTACCACATTTTGTGTGTGTATACAATATTACATATTATTTTGTATGCTGTGTATATTCATATGTGAATGATTTCTTATTATGTGGTGGTTATAACCATTGACATTAAATGTGTCTAACAGATCATATTGTATTACTGTATGCAGTATTTCACTGTAAATACGTCTCATGGGACCTGAAATAAAACTTTACCATAGTAAACCCAAGACTTTATTCCTAAGGCTCAATATTGTATAAATTCTTTTCTTTACAGATACTCCCAACCTCTGCATGAAGAAATAGCTTTGCATAAGCATCTCAAACATAAGAACATTGTCCAGTATTTAGGATCTCTTAGTGAGGATGGTTTCATTAAGATATTCATGGAGCAGGTGCCTGGTGGTAAGTAGTGGTCAAGACTGGTTTGGTGATTATTTTTGCTTAACATCTTAAAAATGTAAGACCTATAGCACTGCAGAGTGATGTATTTCATGAAAAAAAAAACAAACAAACATTCTTTAATGTGTCTTTCTTAAACTAATGGAAAAAAATGTAAGGGTTTTCCAAGTGTTTCATCAGGATTTATACAAGATGTGCTACAGATACAGCTCAGATTGTTGTTGTGCCAGGTGGTTGGTGGTCATCCTACTAGAAAGACTGTAGCTAGTCTCCGATGACTGTGCCCTTTTCAAATACCTAACATGAGAGAATTGTGACTGGCAATTATTGTTTCTGTTTGAGACCAAAGAAGTTACACCAGCCAGACATAATGAAAATATCACTTGTGGGGTTTAGCTTCTTGAGATGCCATGGATTTGGTTTATGTACAGAGGCATGTGTATGTATACCCACCCTTTTTTACTCTTTCACAACATTCTTCTTGGACAACTTCTCTCCAGGCATAACAGAGATGAGCACGTTGACTAAAAAGGTTCTGATCTGTTTGCTTGAGAGAATATATCTGCTGCAGCCAAGGCCAGTGGAGACACTTAGAGACTCTTTTTAATTAGTCAGGAATTTGAAAATGAAAGAAAGTATTTCCAAGAGAGGGCCTTTCATTATACAAGAGGTACCTGCACTTGGTTTGGGATTGTTGGTTGTTGTTACTTTGCTTATCCTTTGGGAGAAAAAGCAGAATTTAATTTGGTTTTACTCTCATTTTTTTCCTCTCCAAAATTATAGGCAGTCTTTCTGCTCTTCTACGATCAAAATGGGGACCATTAAAAAATAATGAGCAGACAATTGGCTTTTACACCAAACAGATTCTTGAAGGATTAAAATACCTCCATGATAATCAAATAGTGCATCGAGACATAAAGGTGAGAAATTGTGGAGATTAAGTCTGGTGTTATGCAACTGCATAACCCATTTATTTGTTCTGTAACTTAAACTTTCTTCTGGAAGCTATTCATTGTTGCAGACTTTATGCTACTCTGAAGTGTGCATTAGATAAGTGAGCCATTGTAACTTGAATTTACAGTAACAAAATATTTTTTAGAAAAAATTACATATAGCTGCATCAGATGTGGTAAAGCAGATATTTTGTACTTATGTTTTCAATGTTGTGATCAAGCTTTCATTAAAATGTATCAGGAGTGAAGAAGACTGTGGGTGGGATATGAACAGTTTCTTTTCCAATGAGATTCTAGACTTTTAAGATGCGTTTCTCTGTCTTGGTCTTTAAACTAGAATTCTTGTAGATGGAGAAGTTTGCTTTGAGATTAAATTTCTGATAATGGGATTACATAAGGCGGGAATGCTATTGATTTCTCTTTCTTGTCCATGCTAAAGAGCTTTAGGAAGTAATTCTTACTTACAAAAGGGTGTATTTGAGATACAAGTAATGCAAGTGAGACAAAACGCAGAGGAAAAATAATTGCTCTGAATGTTCTGTTCCTTAGGGTGATAACGTGCTTATCAACACGTACAGTGGAGTGTTAAAGATTTCAGACTTTGGAACTTCAAAGAGACTTGCAGGAATCAACCCATGTACTGAAACCTTCACTGGTATGTTCTCAGAGGAGATTCTTTCATTACTGCAACTTCCAGTATAGGGTCATATTTCATAGCTGCCTAACTTATATTGACTTCAAATCAATGTAAAAAGTCACTGGAAGTGTAAGCTAATTTAGGTATACTTGCTCTTAAGCTATGCGGTGTTCAAAGACACACAGACAACGCTGCTTTAGAAGTTGCACTTGAGACAAAAGAATAAAAATAAAAAAAAGTCCTACACAGTAGAAGAGCACTGTCTTTCCTGTGTCACATTTGAGTCTGCCTCTTCTGTATACATGACTTTTTCATTGTGCTGACCTAAAGCTAACTTTTTTTCTTTCATGACTGGTTTGGGCATCCTGGCATCATCTACAAAGCTTGTCATTAACGTAATTCTCATTCTGCTTGATAATTTGATTTGGATGTTAAATCATGAAATCACGCAGTGGCACTATATTAAATAATTACTCAAAATGAGAAGTGACTCTTATTTTAATTCCTTTCTCTGTTAAACTTCTGCTTAAATAGAACAGAATGCTTTATCAGGATGATTCCCATCAGAAAAGAAGCCTTAATATCTACTATTTTAGGTTCAAGTTTCACTTCCTTTTCCCCTCTGAATGCAATTCAGATTAATCTTCCTGATTTTCATCTTACTATGTAACACGGTAAATAAAAATAACATCTAATCCAATGTCCTTGAAATCACTAGTAATTGTCACAGTCATTGAAGAGATACGAGATCAGTACATGATATCAGATGCTTTTAGCACAAATAAAATTTTGAATAGTGTTTTGAGTTTGTTTAATGCATGAGGAAACTTCTAATTTTTTTTGAATAATAGTGTTTTTTGTTAACTCTCCTGATACCATTCACTTCCCACTTATTTCATTTGTCTTGTTATTTCACTATCTATTGCATCTTTTGTGTGTGTAAAAAACAATGATGGCTATGTTTTAAACAGGTACCCTTCAGTATATGGCACCGGAAATCATTGACAAAGGGCCCCGTGGCTATGGGAAAGCTGCAGATATCTGGTCCTTGGGATGCACAATCATTGAGATGGCTACAGGGAAACCCCCATTTTATGAACTGGGAGAACCACAAGCAGCTATGTTTAAGGTCAGATATCTTCTTGTACAACTCAGACCAGTACTTGTAAACACAGGAAATCTTGTGACTGTTTTGGAAAAGCTGGAATTATAAGGAAAAGATGATAAAGGAAATGCTTCACTAATGAGGATGTTAAGAAGAATGAGCTGATTCAATTGAGTGGGAGTGCTGTGTGTATTTGAAGAGTGTAATGGAGCAGTAACAGCTATTCACTAGCATTATTACTTTTTTTTTTTTTTTTTTAAAAAAAAAAAAAGGCAAAGAAAAGCAGTTCTGACTTCTCCACTTTGTGAGAACCTCTCCTTACAATTGTATTTTTTTAATTTGATCGAATAATTACACAGTTGGCAATAATTTTGTTCTTTGCATTAATGAACTAGTTATAGAAAGGTAATATCAAAACATGATAACAATATACTACATTTGGTATGTTTTTTGTTATTTAGCATTTGAGAAAAGAACAGTAGAGAACTTTTTTTTTCCTGCTTTGTCTCAGGTGGGAATGTTTAAAATACACCCAGAGATTCCTGAATCGATGTCTGCAGAAGCCAAGGCTTTCATATTGCGTTGCTTTGAACCAGATCCTGATAAACGAGCTTTTGCTCATGAACTACTTGTAGATGAATTCTTGAAGGTTTCAAGCAAAAAAAGAAAGTCTCCATCAAAACTCTCAGGTAACTGTTGGTAAACTCACTCTGGAATTACTCTCTTATAAACCATCAGTTTCAGGAAACAATATCATTTCTTCTTTAAGACGAAGAATGTAGATCCCCATCCCGGATGAGTGATCAGTTGTAGTCTTTTGTTCCAGTGGCTTTCTGTAGAAAGACTGTTGTAGCAGAATTCTGCTCGCAAGTTGTCACTAAGGTGACTAAATATTAAGGTTTAGCATAGTATAGAATAGTTTCTCTTGGAAGGGACCTACAAAGATAGTTCAGCTGTCAGAATTTTTGGGGGCTGATCCAAAGTATATCGTTAAGGGGTGTTTGGATGATGCTCTTAAACACAGACAGGCACAGGGCACTGACCACCTCTCTAGGAAGCCTGTTCCAGTGTCTAACTACCCCCTTGGTAAAGAAATTTTTCCTAATATCTAGTCTGAACCTCCTTTGATGCAGATTTGAACTGTTACCATGCATCCTGTTACTGGAAACCAGGAAGAAAAGATTAGCATCTCCTTCTCTACTACCCCTAAAAGTCTTTCTCTGTCTATGTTGTTTTTTTGTGTGTTTTTTTTTTGTTTGTTTGTTTGTTTTTTTCAGATGTGTGCGTTTTCATTCAAATAATGTTTGTACAGAGTGCATTTTGTGTAAGGTAGTAACATGAACAAAATAATGTTTGTCCCATAGCAAACTGCATTATTCCCCCCACCACATTCCCTGCTATGTTTTTAAATTATGGAATATAACTGAGTAGTTTTGAGAGTATGGATGACATATTTTATGTGCATATATTAAATATATGTTCTGCATAATTTTAGCATGATACCTACAAGAAGAAACTACTAGGTAAAGGAGATAACACTGATTGATAGCTTTTAGCTTCTATTTTACAGGTTCAATTTAATTTTAAATGG